ATCAATCAATCAATAATAATAATGATAAACAAGTCGCATACCTTAACTTCGTTAAAACCAGGCACTTCTTCGCTTATTGACAATTCGTCGGGATCCCAAAGAGGGAGAGGAGTCGGCCTGTGTCTCACTGAATTCTTATTATTATTATTTGTGGTACCAGGAGGAGTCGCCGGTGAAGAATCGTCGGCACTTTCGACCGCGTCTTCGTAGTCACTCATGTTCCTTTTTCCTTTGTCTTTCCTTTGCCTTAGTTTTTTTTTAATTTTTCCCTTTTAAATTTTCTAATTTTTTGTTTTTTTTTTTTTTTTTAAATTTTTTTTTTTGCTTTTTTTAAATTTTTTTAAATAATTTTTTTTTTTTTACGTTTTTTTTTTTTTTCCTTTTTTTTTTCTTTTTCTTTTTTTTTTCTTTTTTTTTTTTTTCTATGAATTCCCCAAACTTGTGATATAATTACGGAAACTTCAACGGAAACAAACAAACAAACAAACAAACACAAAATTTTTTTTTTTATATTTAAATGAGAACAAACGAAATTAAAATTAAAATTAAAAAAATTAAATTAAATTGGTAACGAATCCCTCCGACAACGGTTATCATTATTATTATTATTATTAATTATTACACGTGACATTAATTACAAATTATTATTATTATTATTATTATTATTATTATTATTATTCATGTTTTAAAATTCCATCTTTTTAACAAAAAAAAAAAAATCGAGACGAAAATAATTTGACCCGAATGAACAAAAGGAAAATACGGAAGAAGTCGGATCTTAAAGTAAATAATAATAATAATAATAATAATAATAATATTTATTTTTACAACTTTTATTATTATTATTATTATTAATATTTTTCAAACTCTCATTCTCGTTCGATGGTTGTTTTCTTTTACGTTTCAAAACCCAAAAAAAAAAAAAAAAATTAAAATTTTTTATTCATTTTTAATTGTGAAAAACAAACGCGTTCGATTCATTTTCATCAACTTTAAAAGTAATTAATTTTTTGGAAAAAACTAGCAGAAGACAATAACAAAGACAACAAACGAGAAACGTGACAAAAATTACTTTAAATTTCACCGAAAGCATTAAACAAACAAACGCGCCTCCTTCTCGATTTCCATCTTTCATCCATTTAACTCGCGTCAATAAAATAACGACAACAACAACGACAACGACAACGACAACAATGTTATTAATAATAATAATAATAATAATAATAATAATAATACGTTGTCGACGTGGGCCTTCAAAAAAAAAAAAAGCGCGAGCGTGACGTAGACGATGGTCTTTGGCACATTTGCGTAAGTACGTCAATCGAAACATAAAAAAAAACCGGTTTAGATTTAAATTTCAATTGTAATTTTTTTATACAATGTCTGTGCGTCCGGCAAAACCTGTTGATTTGTTGAAACGATATGTGAAAACGATTCGATTATCGAAATAAATTATCGATCGATTCACCATCGTCAATGATTTGAATCGTTTTTCTGGAAATTTTTTTTTCAACTACCCCTGGGTATTATTAAACGAAATCCACACACACCACACGCATATTATTATTATTATTTTTTTTTTTTCCGTTTTACGATTATCGAATATTTCGATTATCGTTAAAAATCGTACCGCGTTGTTTTCGATTCGCCAAGGTTAAACACGTTCGATCATCATCATCATCATCATCATTGCAAGGGACATTCGTGCCAATTATATAATATTTAATTCGCGTCACACAAAAAAACTTATCACACGAGTCAATTACGACGTTAATTATTTAACGGAAAATGATTTGCACTTGTTATCAGTAAGCAATGATGATGATAATACTAATAATAATGATGAAATTCGCTCGTTTCAATTGAAATCCATACGCGGCGTTTTTACTTCTCCGAGAAAAAAAATGGCCGCCATGATGAAAATTATACTGGAGGCCCGCCATTTCCTTTCTTTTTTTTTTTTTTTTTTAAACCGTACGTGATTGGCACTGTGCACCGGGAGGGGGGGGGGTGTGAAAAGAAAAATCAAACCCGAAGAAATGAAATTTTCAAAGCAAACAAACAATAAAATAATAATAATAATAATAATAATAATATTGATGATGATAAAAATGAAAATAAAATCGATAATAATTATTGATTGTATAAAAAATACGATCGATAATTATTTATCCGTGAACTTAAATTAATAAAGCGAAAATTAAATTTTATAGCCGTTTGTTTGTTTGTTCCTTTCCTTTCCTTTTTTTAATTAAACAATCACAAAAAAAAAGAAAAGATCTATCTCACATAACGACCTTCTACAGAAAACGACAGCACAAACAGACAAACGATTGTTTAAATCAATACATATATATGGGCTAAGAGAGTGTAAGAAAAAAATTTAAAGAAAGGTCAGTGTCTCGAATAGTTACATTTTAACAAACAGACAAAAACAACCTAACAAACGACAATTTAGCTGTCTGCGTCGTATACAAACAGAATAATATTTTAAAGGAAAAATATGCTTGGATATGAATAACAAAAACAAAAACCCTATCGATTGTTTATATGTAAACTTATAAGAAAACAAACGAACAAGAAAATCGAGAGAGAGAGATAGAGAGAGAGAGAGAGAGAGAGAGAGAGAGATTGAAAAACTTTTAAATTTGACTTTTCTTTTTAACTAAATAAATTTTCTTTGCTGTCGTTGTTGTTGTTGTTGTTGTTGTCGTCGTCTGCGTTTTAGCGACAAACTTTTTATTTTTATTTTTCAAAAAAAAAAAAAAAAAAAAAAACCTCATTAATACATCAAAAATCGAGCCTATCGAGCTTATCGAGCCTAAACTCAATTGATTAAATCATAAAGCTTTCAAATCATCATCATCATCATCATCATTATTATTATTATTATTCAAACGAATACCTTTCCTTAAATTAAAAAAATAATTTAAATGAATAAATGACAATTAATAATCAACAAATGTGTGTGTGTGTGTGTGTGAATTGTTAATAATTACATAAGTTACTGATAACAAAATTTTTAATCAGCTACACATTGCGTACACGTCTTAAAATTAATAATAATAATAATAATAATAATAATAATAATAATAATTGTCATTCAAAGGAAACTCGACAAAAAAAATTTTGACTTGTGGTTCTTGCTTTTTTACTCTACATCAGTCAAACCTAATTTCAATGTCATTATACTTCTTTTTGGATAAGTAACTACTATGGTTTTGTGGTTTTTGATTGAGCAAACAAGATAAAGAACCATTGTGTGTGTGAGTGTGTGTTTGTGCTATTTATAAAAAAAGAAAATAATTGTTTTCTTTTTTTGTGGTTGTTGCCATTTTCTTTCCTATTTCAAAAAAAAAATAAAAAAATATTTAATGATAATGTTAAGTAATTACAACTTCCTGGTTTTAATTAGGCTCTCATCGACTATCACACAAGATATGTCTACATATATATATCGAAAAGAGAGAATATTTTTTAAAATTCACATTCGTTAAACAATTTAAATGTTTTTTAGTTTTAAAAAATACAAACAAACAAACAAACAAACAAAATACATAATATTCATAAATGATTTGAAATCGAGTACAGGCTAAATTTACTAAAAAAACATTAAGAAAGAAACTTCCTCTCTCGAACAAAAAAAAAATCAATAATATTATTTGTTTTTTTTTTTTTTAAAGCAAAACTATTTGTCGATATTAATAATAATAATAATATTTAGCACAAAAAAATTACATAAAATTTCTTTGTAAAAAATAATAATAAACCTGAATAGCTTAAAGAACTAGTTTTTTTTTTTTTTTTAACAGGTGTTTGTAAATAAGATAGAAACGATATAATTTCAAGGTTAGACATCAAACCTAAAATATATATATAAATATATATATTAATTTTTTATTTGTGACCAATTTTTTAGTATTTTAGATTAGTAATGTGCCTAAAAAAAAAAAAAACAAAAAAAATTAAATAATAATATTAATTTCCTACTTTTAAATAAATATTTTATGTTATGACTTGCATAATAATTTTAAATAAACTGGAATCGTTAAAAATAAATTATAATTTTTTTTTTTTTTTTGCAAAGACAATCAACCTTGAAACACATTTCATATCGGGTCAAATTTAATTAGAATTTATAAAAAAATTATTTAATTGTTTTTTAATTCGAAAGAATGTTTAATTGATAAAATAATTAAACAACAATTCAATTATGACAAAATGTAATGATTATTATTAAATTTGTAATATTAATCCATTAATTCGATTAAGTTTTAAAATTATTATCGAAAGCTCAAACGAAAAGAACACACATCATCCTCACTTGCGTAGAAAAAAGTAATAATTATAAAATTGCATTTCTTTTAAGTTATAAATAAATAAAAACCTTGATTGTATTGCATTTGATGAAAATTTTAATTAAATCATAACCTAACCTGATTGAAATTATATTAATTTTTATGTTAAGTTTCATCGTTTTAAACTAATTATCGAAGTGAATGATGTATGGTTAAATATGGAAAAAATCATGGCAATAACCTTTTTTTAACATCTCGAATGAATATTTAAAAGACACACACACACACACACAATGATTACATATAATTAAATTTAAATACAAATAATATCTTGTTTAAATAAAAAAAAATGGATGTTTCTTTTTAAAAAAAAACAAAAAGAACCACTTGTGAAAAATACTAATTGTGTATGAGCTAATGTGTAATGAATATATGTATCATGAATTTAATAATAATAATAATGGTAAATAAAGAAATTATTTTAAAACGTGCATTGATTTTCATTAATTTTTTTTTTTTTGGGTGTTAAAATAAAGAATAAAATAAGAAAAAATAACATAAAAAAACCATGCAAATTAAAATAACTTACGTTTAACATACATAAATAAATTGTGAAGAGAGAAAAAAAAAAAAAGAATATCATAAAAATATAAATTTAGATTTTAAAACGTTGATATTTTAACACTTGTAAGAGTAAACAACAATAAAATAAAATTAAAATATATATATATATAATTCACAAACAATATGAATTTGAAAATAAAACAAATAACTAATAAATATATATAATATTATACTCCGAATAAAATAATTACGTTTAACGTTAGGTTATTTTATTAACAAAAAAAAAAATTCACTAGTAAAAATTACCGTGTGTAAATAAAATTTAAAAAAAAAAAAAAAACTAATTAAAAATAAATAAATACTTAAATTAAATTTATTAAAAGAATAAAATTATTAAAATAAATAATAAATAAAATAATGAAAAGAATGAGAATTAAAAATATCATACCTAAAAATTTCAAATTGATTTGAGTCCATTTCAGTATCCCCACTCTTTCCTTCTTGTCACTTCCATATGGGTTGGTTACGTCATCAAGAATACGTTTAGAAATTGCGCTCGTCTATAAAGTTCTGAAATTCGTTTGTTTCTAAGGAAACAAATTTAAAAACATTTTTTTTTTTTTTTTTTGAACACATTAAGTGGAAAATCCAAGTAAGCGCGAATGGTTTTTTTTTTTTTAATAAATACATTTTTCAATTTGAAATTCTTTTAGTCTTTGTTAAACATTTGAAAAAAGTCGAGTTATTTTTTTTAAAATGATGATGACGTTTTCACGATGAATTTGATATTCTTTAACAATGTCTTAATCGTAGCAAAATTTTAAATTTGGCGCGTTATTTTTTTCAATTCGTTTTAATGTCGTCGTCGTCGTCGTCGTACATTTGAATTTATTTTAATTAATCATCGTATTTCGGGTATGTAATACATTTTTATTCTTTATTTTAATATATTTTATATTTAAAACACGACACTATCGACGTATATATAATAATTAACGTTAGGAAATTATTCAAATACGTTTTAATTTATACAATAATAATGATAATTACATATATTTAATATACTTTGAAATATTTGAAATTTTCTTTTTTATACATAAATATTATTATTAATTTGAAACAAAACATTATTTATCATTGTAATAATAGTATTTATAGTAATAACAAAAATTATTAGACTGTAAAAGGTTAATAATTACAACACAAATGCTAATGTAATGGCCTGATGATTGTTTGTTGAAAATACTCATCATTATTAAAAAAAAAAAAAAAGAAAATTTAAATCAAATAAAACATTTTAATGAAAACTGTTTTCATAAAAACATTCAGAAGAAAGTAAGAAAACTATTGATGTAAAAATATCAACACAACAACAGGATTTATGTAAAATAATAAATAAAAAAATTTGCTGCTGTTGTCTGATTCAAATCTCATTATTACTCCTTAAATTTGACACATTTTGTTATTATTTCATCAATTTTTAACAAAGGCAAAACCTTTTTTTGCCTTTTAACTTTACCTTATGTGAATAAATAAATAAATAAAACATTTGATGTCAAAAATTAATAAGTTGACATTTTGTTTTTGTAAAAAAAAAATCTCACATATAAATGTCATGATATGGCCTTTTGTTAAACAAAAGTAGCAAAATAATAATAATAATAATAATAATTACATGATTAAAAATAATGTAAAACAGGATAAAAGAAAAAAAAATCAATAAATAGAATTTTTACACTTATTAATTATTTAATGATGATGATGATGATGATGGAAACCTTTTGTGTAAAGCAAAAAAGAAAATTTCTCTCTTCATGAAAGTAAGAAAGAAAGAAAAAGATTAATTAATTAATTAATTAATTTTATAAATAAGACATTAGAGAGAGCGGAAAAGAAAAAGGAAGTTAAAAGGAAAGAAAGAAAGGAAAGAAAGAAAAGGAAAAGAGAAAAAAATTAAATAAATAAATAATGAAAATTACACTTGAAAAAAAAACCTTTGGTAAAGGACAAACAATAGGCCAAGGTAAAAATTTCATGTGACAACAAACACAAAACATTATTATGTTTTTTTTTTTTGTTAGACACATAGATATGTTTTATCATTATGTTTTTATCAATTCATATTCAACAAACTTTAATAAATAAACGGGGGGAAAAAAAAAATCAATAAATATTATTAATTTATAATAATGATAATTTTTTAAAAGCGTTCATGTTTTTTAAAAACATCCACATTTTGAATTTTTTTTCTTTGTTAATAATAATAATAATAATAATAATAATAATAATAATAATTAATAAAATACGTGAATAAATTTTAAAAAATAGATTTTAAATTACATAAGTATGAAAATAACCGTGACCGAAAAATAATAATAATAATTAATCGAATAAAATTTTCAATACAATATATACAATTATCGATTTTCTTCGTGGCATTATCATTTTAAAATTAATTTAAAAAAAAAAAAACGCGCGAAAAATCGTCATTAATTGTTTCATTTTTTTTTTAAAACATTTATCATTATTATTATTATTATTATTATTATTATTAACGTTACGTAGAATTTATTAGTCTCCCGACGAAAACAAAAAAAAAAAACAAAAAAAGGGGAGAAAAACGAAAAAATATGGCGGTTTATCCTAAATATTTTCAACGAATCCGATTTTAGACATTTTACCATAATAATAATAATAATAATAATAATAATAATAGTAATTATGATGATGATGATGATGATGTATTTTTAAAGTTTTTAATTAATTAAATGTAAAAAGTCTTGTCTTATTTTTTTTGTACAATTCAATATTAATTAATCGATTTTATTATTATTATTATTATTATTATTAATAATACAGCAGAAAGGAAATGAAATGTTTTTTTTTTTTAATTGTTTAAACAAAAACAAATAATATAAATTGTTTATAATTAATTTTGCAAGTTTGAAAACAAAAAAAAAAAAAGTTTAATTAAAGCCTCTCCCCCCCAAGAAAAAAAAAAAATACAACGAAAAAACGAAATGTGTTGTGATGACGGTGTAGCCAAGCAATTATCGATTATATTTGCATAATAATAATAATAATAATAATAATAATAATGATAATGATAATAATGATAATAATAACGCAATTCGACGGTCAAGTTTTTCGGGTTATTTATATTATTATTTTTGTTTGCTTTGTTTGTCGTTTTAAAAATTGAAACCGGTACTACCTTTTTCTTTGTCAGGATGTTTGTATACGATCGGACAACAAACAAGCAAACAAACAACAAACGGAAAATTTTTTTTTCGTTATTGTTTTGCGTTATCAATGCGCAAAAAAAAAAAATTTTTGTTCTCACCTGTCCGTTTTGGTATAGAAAAAAAAAAAAAAAAAAAGGAAAACCAAGGTCAATAAATGATATAAAATTTAATCAACGGGAAATACGAAAACCAACCTAAATAGTAATAATAATAATAATGATGATGATAATAATAATATTTCACACGGTGAAAAAGAAGAAAAACACGCGAGATTAGCATACGACGTTAAATAACATACGTCATAGTGAGGTTAATTATTAAAGTTTTGACCGATTTTCCCCTTTTTTTTTTTTTTAAATTATTACCTTTTTATTACCGCCTCCCCTTACCTCACCTCCCCCTTCCCCCTCCCATTTAACCTTGAAAACATTCCACGTATTATTATTATTATTTTCATTTGAATTTATTACATTTCTTTTTTTTTTCAAATTGTAACGGAAAAACAAAAATTAAATCATCGACACGATATTTTTTTTTTTTTTTACAAAAGCAGAAGAAAAAACGATCGATAATCTTGTGTGCGTGTGTGCGTGTGCGTGAATATCAATAATTAATTTATTATTATTATTTTTTTTTTTTCAGAATAATTTATTATTAAAAAAAAAAAATAAATTTTTAAATTAAAAATGTACGACAAAATGGCGGAATCCGTAAAGGTTATCGTTCGATCGAGACCGATGAACGAAAGAAAAAAAAATCTTCACTGTAAGGTAATTTATTACTTTTAATAATAATAATAATAAAAAAACTTATTTTATTATATAAAAGTTTTTAAAATGATGATGATGATGATGATGGGAGAGAAAGAAAAAAAGAAAGAGAGAGAAATATTTGATTTTATTATTCTCCACCATGTCACACATTTTCTGTCACATTTTTTTTATTAAAAATTTTTGACCCTAAAATGAATGGGGGGAGGGAAGGGAAGGGAAGGGGGAAAAAAAGCTTCAAACATGCTAAACCTAAATTAAATGAAAAATTAAATAATAATAATATTACCCTGGTTTTTTTAAATAGTCACGTGATTTTCCATACGAAAAACACGCACAAACATACCATATAAAACGCATTGTATAATAATGTTTTAAACATAAAAAAAAAAAAAATTTAATTATGTTTTCTCTCTCTCCCTCTCTCTCTCTCTCTCTTATTCTCCAGCAAACAAATAATAATTTAACGGAAATGACGTTTTTTTGTTTGTCGCCAAAACGTACAAAAAAAAGAAAATTTATATTAATATTCAATATGAAATCACCACGTTCTCTCTCTCTCTCTCTCTCTCTCTCTCTCTCTCTCTCTCTCTCTCTCTCTCTCTCTCTTTCTCTCTCATTGGAATTCCTTAGCCAATTTTTTTTTGCACGACCTCTCACGTGTTAATGACCTTTAATTAAAAAGCTTTCGATAAATGAATCATGGAAAAAAGAGAGGAAGAGAGAGAGAGAGAGAGAGAGAGGGATAGAAAAGGATAAAAAGTTTTTTTTTTGAAATTCCAGAACGTTCTTCTCATGGATACCGAACATTGTAGTTGTTCTATAATAAATCCATCAGATTCATCAGCTCCACCTAAATCATTTTTTTTCGACAGCGTTTACAACATAATGGCGACAACCGAACAAATATACAGCGAAATAGTTTATCCTTTGGTAGAGGTACGAGTAGTACCTTTTAATTATTATTATTATTATTATTACCATTTAAAAAAATTATAAAGCTTTTTATTATTTATCGCAGGGTGTTTTGGAAGGTTACAATTCGACGGTTTTCGCTTATGGACAAACGGGTTGTGGAAAAAGTTACACAATGCAAGGATGTACGTCACCGCCTTCTGCAAGAGGAATAATTCCAAGATCTTTCGAACACATATTCGAAGCAATAAGCGTTATTGAAAATAAAAAATTTCTCGTCGTTGCTAGTTATTTAGAAATATACAACGAAGATGTTAGAGATCTTTTAGGAACGGATTGTAAAAAAAAATTAGATCTTAAAGAAAATCCACAAACCGGAACTTACGTTTCCGGTACGTTTCGTCACGTCCTCACACACGAAAAAAAATTTCCAATTAAGTTGGTAACATTGAGTTTTTTCTTTTTAGATTTGTCACATCACACAGTTCAAAGCGTCGAAGATTGTGAAAAATTAATACAAATCGGTATTAAAAATCGCGTGACGGGTTCGTCGCTGATGAACGCGGAAAGTTCTAGAAGTCACAGTATATTTTCGATATCTCTAGAAATGATGCCAAACGAATGTACTAAAACAAAAGGAATAATACGTAGGGGAAAATTAAATCTCGTGGATTTAGCCGGAAGTGAAAGACAATCGAAAACTGGAGCCACGGGTGAGAGATTAAAAGAAGCGACGAAAATAAATTTGTCACTCATGGCGTTGGGTAACGTCATTTCCGCTTTGGTCGATGGTAAATCAAAACACATTCCATATAGAGATTCTAAATTAACAAGACTGTTGCAAGTGAGATATTATCATTATCATTAACAACCTATTATTATTCTGATGATGATGATGATGATGATTAAAGTTTTCCTATACCTTCGTAGGATTCCTTAGGGGGAAACACAAAGACGCTCATGATAGCCTGCTTATCACCCGCGGATGATAATTACGATGAAACTCTCAGCACTCTCAGGTATGCCAACAGAGCAAAAAATATTAAAAATAAACCAAAGATAAACGAAGATCCGAAAGATGCAATGTTGAGGGAATATCAAGAAGAAATAGAAAAACTCAAAACGCTTTTAAAAACGAGTAAGTAAAACACAAATTTTTTCAAATTCGAAATCCACCACCCCGGGGGGGGATGAAAATTTTTATTTTTCTATTTTTTAGATTCTTTACCCACGTCGGAACCGACAAACAACGACGAATTGTATAAAAAAATAACGGAAGCAAATTTAGAAACGGATAAACTCAAAGCGGATTACGAAAACGAAATGTTAAAATTAAAAGAAGAATACGAGAGAGAACAGGAAAGTAAACAAAAACTCGAAAAAGACATGGCGGAATTGAAAAAACATTACGAGGAACAAATGGATGTCCTTAAAAAGAAAAACGAAGAAAATTCTAAAATAAACGTGTCACAACAGGAAGTTTTAGAAAGGTTTTCATTCGGCCATCTTTTTTTTCCGAAATCAATTAATGGCGTCGTTTTTTTTACATTTCGATCGTGTTTTTTACAGATTGAAACAATTACAAGCATCGATGGTTGGAGGGGAAAGAGCGGGTGATAAAGAATTAAAAGAAAAACGTTTGAAAAAAAAGAAAGCAGCGGAAAAAAGGTTGGAAGCACTTGCTATGGCATTGTCGAAAGTCAAAGACGATGATGGGGTCATGCTTAAAGTTTACGATGACATACAAGAAGAATTAAAAGCCAAAACGGAAACGCTAAGAAAATCAAAACAAAGGGTAAATAAACAAACAAACAAACAAACAAAAACAAACATTTTAATGGGAAAAAATTTTTTTGTTTCGTTCAGATAAAAGGATTAGAAAGAGAAATATCAGATCTTCAAAGCGAATTCGAAAATGAAAGAACGGATTATTTAGAAGAAATAAGAAAAGGTCAAAGGCAAATAAAACTTTATCAACAAATATCGGATAAAATGACTTCTGCTTTAAAAAAAGAATGTAATTATTGGTACGTACCTGATAATGATAACGCATTCCTTTGAATCCCGATCCCACACTCCCGCACAAAAAATACATTTAAATTATTATTATTATTATTATTAATAAATTTTAGCAATTTAGATAAAATAAAACAAGATTCAATATGGAATGACGAATTAGAATGTTGGAAAATTCCCGATTTGATAATATCGAGAACAAAATTACCACCGGCAGGTACGTAAACGATGGAAAAAAAAAAAAAAAACACCCGCGCACAAACAAACACACAAACAAACAAACGACATGTTAAATTATTATTCAGGTACGAATAATCAAACGAAAAAAAATGGGAAAAATTTTAAAAAGAAAAATAAATCAATTAATCTATTTCCGGTATTAATTCATACAAAAACTTACGTACAAAAATTTTCAGGTATTTAAAAAGTGGGGAAAAAAAAAATTGTTGCTGTTGCTGTTGTTGTTGTTGTTGTGGTTGTTGTGTGTTCGTTTCTGAATTTTCATTGTTTATTAATTTAATTTCATTTCCGTTTTTTAACCGTTTTTAACCGTTTTTTTTTTAAATTGTTGTTTTTAAAACAAACGCGATAGGACAAACGAATAATAATAATAATTTATGGATGACGCTTGTTGAAAAATTACAAAGACAAAATGGTAGTAGTTTCGATAAAGGAAATGACGATCCCGGAAGCGGATATTGGAATAATATATCGGAAAGATTATCATCGAGTTCATCTTCAAGCGATGGCGGTACCGTAACGAGAAACGTTAGTAATCATCCATTTTTTTCTTTTTTTCTTTCTTTCTTTCTTTCCGGTTTTTCCTTTTGTTTATGTTTTTTATGTTTTGCGTTTTAGAGATTCGAAAATAATAACGAAGAAGTTGAAGATTTAGCAGGTAGTTATTTTAAACCGTCAAAAAGAGCAGACGAATTAATAAATAAAGCGAGAGAAGATGCGAGCAAAGCATTTAGTACGTGGCGTGGTAAACAAATTATTTTGTTAATTGAGATTTTCGGTTTTTACTACTATTTCCGGTTCCGGTTGTCACAAAAACGTTTATTTTTTTTCTTTTCTTTTTTTTTCCAATCGAACAGAATACGTTAATAGAAATAGATTAAGACAATTTAAAGGAGGAGGAGGAGGAGGACAAATGAATTACGAAACAAGACCGAGATTGGATGAAGGTACAAAAAGTGCAGTTCACGGAAGTTTAAATTCATTAAATATATATTCGAAAATGAGAAGTAATTTAGGAAGCGATCCGGGTCAAAGGACAAAAAATTCATGGAACGGAAGTGGATTATGGGGGGAAAATAATAATAATAATAATAATAAAACGTGGGATAACGAATACGAAACAATTAAAAAACCCTTTAAATTAGATGCTTTACCAATGTTAGACAATAAAAACAATGGAAGATATCAAAAAAATGACGTCAACGGTTTCGGTTTAACTTGATCCCCCATTTACAACGATAATAATAATAATAATAATAATTTTTTTTTTATTCGGAAAAAAATTTCTATATATATGTATATATTTTTAATTAATTAATTAATTAATTTGTTATCGATTATTTATTTATTTATTTATTGGCATTAAAGTATTTTTTTAATTAAAAAAAAAAAAAAGAAAAAGATGTTAATTATTAACAAACAACAAACCTAAAAATTTATTTATTAAGTTTTCCTATTTCCCCCCTCCCCAAAAAAAAAAATTTTCCATCGACTTCCGCATTTTTATTTTGTTTTTTTTTTTTTTTTGTAAACGGGGAAAATGGTCGCAATTTTAAATTATTTAATAGAATTCTTTCTTTTCGGTTTTAATAATGTTATTTAATATTAATTTATTTTGCGTGTGCGTTTTTTTAAACAAAAAAAACTTTTAAATTATTTTCGAAACGCAAAAAACCTCCTCCCCCTCCCCTTGCACCCCTACTACTCCTCCCCTCCCCTTCTTTTTACTTAAAAAACATGCGATATCGAAACTTTTCCCTCAACAACTTTCCGTAAGGTAAACATTATATTTAATAATAAATTCAACTTTTTTTCTTTTACTTTCCGTTTAACTTTTATTATTATTATTATTATTATCATTTGTTTTTCCGTTAAAAATTGACACAAAATTATCATTATCATTTTATTTATTTTCAGTTTTCGTTTTTTTTATTAAACAAATCAAAAATAATAATAATTTTTTGTAAGGCATGTTATTGTGAGATGATTTTTTTTTTTATAATACGATAATAATGATATTATTAATAAGTTGTTGATTGGTAAATGAAAAAACAAAATTTTTTTCTTAATAATTTTTAACGCGCGCGACCCCCTTTCCCCTCCCCTCGCTCGCTCGCTCTCCGGTTCGGTTGCCTTAATTATTTTTTTATTTTTGTTAAACTTTCGTCATTCGATAATAAAACGATTCATCGATCGATCAATCGTTGTGTCATCGAATCGTCACTTTATCGAACCAACTTTTTGCAATTTTTCAAACGATTTCGCAGGATGAATTTGAAAAGATTTGTTTAAGTAAAAAAAAAAGCAAAAAAAAAAAAAGGTGGAAAATCGCCATCACGGTTTTCCGATCGTAATTTTATTTCCTCCCTCCCCCCTCTACCCCCCTCGAAATTTTTTAATTTTGAAAACGGAAACGATTTCATTCGATTATTAAAAAAAAAAAAATAATAAATCGGAAACGCGATCGAAAATGCTTCTTTTTTCCTTCTTCTCCTTCTCCTTATTATTATTATTATTATTATTAAATTTAAAACTTTTCACCCAACCCCCCCTTCTTCTCCCTCCCTCCCTCCCTCTCTCTCTCTTTTCTTTCATCGACGGAATTTTACTCAAAGTTATAAAAAAAAAAGAAAAAAAAAAAAGAAAGTAAAATAAAAAAAAAAAAAAGTGAATAGCAAATCGATTCGGTTTGATCATACCGTTCATTTTCCGTTTCCGGTTCTCATCGTCAAATCATCATTTTTTTTTCCCATTTCCGTTCGTGTTTTTCTTAATTATTTTACTCTTCAAATGTTCCTTGTAATTGAGAATGTTTCCGTTCCATTTTGTTATCGTACCGTTTTCGCAAACCCAAATCTCTTCGGCGACTTGATTTATCAAACGAAAATCGTGTGATACCAAAACCATGCCGCCTTCGAAATCGTTTATGGCGTCCGCGAGTGCATCGATCGTTTCCATGTCCAAATGATTTGTGGGTTCGTCGAGGAGGAGCAAATGAGGGCATTGCCATGCTAAATAAGCGAAAACGACTCGACAACGTTGACCGTCGCTAAGCTGACGAATCGGACATATCTAGAAAAAATTGAATCAATTAATCCATTTCCGGGTATTTTTAATTTACGTTTGGAAACGACCACACAAACAAACAATCAAAACACACAAACGAACCTGTTGCCGACCGGTCAAACCGTATCTCCCGATTATTTTTCTCATTTCTTCTTTTTCTTTCACTTCCGGAAATGATTTCATCATGTAATCTAAGGCGCTAATATCAAGATCCAAAAGCTCGTGTAAATGTTGATGATATCGAGCTATTCTAAGATGTGAATTTTTTCTAATCATTCCCTCCGTCGGAATAATCTAAAAACAAAAAATTTCCTTTTTTTTTTAACCGGAAATAAATTTCACTCGGATAATCCCGTCCGACGGACTCACCTCACCGCAGAGTAATTTGAGCAAAGTGCTTTTACCGGCTCCGTTGGGGCCCACGAGAGCAACTCTTGTGTCAAGATCGATACCGAATTCTAAATTTTTATATATCCAAGCCGTGTTCGAATTATATCTAAAACTAACGTTCTGAAAATTCCAAATTAACATTTTTTTATCAAAAATAAAACATCGAAAGGAATCATCATCAATAATAACGATAATAAATTTTCTCTCATTGTACCTGAACCATAATGACGGGAGGAGGTATCGTGCCGCAACTTGGAAAATAAAAATGTACGGTTTTATCCGACGTGACCTTTTCGGTTAAACCTCCGGCAACCATTTTCGCAAGAGTTTTCTCTTTGCTCTGAGCTTGTCTAGCTAATTTGGCAGATCCGTGACCGAATCGTGCTATGTAATTTTTCATATGTGCTATTTGATCTTGTTCCCAATTATACTGTTTCATTTGATTTTCTAATAATTCGAGTCTAGTCCTGACAAAAGCATCGTAATTACCCTAATATAAATAAAAATCAATCAATCAATCAATCAATCGAACTAATCATTTGAATTTAAAATACTCATACTCACGGTATAATACTTTAATCTTTTCTTATCTAAATGCATTATGTTGGTACAAATACCATTGAGGAAATCTTGCGAATGTGAGATTACAACAAGAATTCTTTTATACCTGGAAAAAAAAAAATTAATCAAATTTAAAATGGAGGTGGGTATTAATTATCATCAGTTTATTATTTTTAAAGAGAGGAGAAAAAACTCGTACGTTTTAAGTTCTTCTTCTAACCACACGCAAGCATCCAAATCCAAATGATTAGTCGGTTCATCGAGTAGAAGTAAATGAGGTTTGACATAAAGTGCCCTAGCAAGTGCAATCCTCATTCTCCAACCTCCGGAGAAATCTTTAGATTTTTTATCTTGCATTGTTTTAGAAAAACCTAAACCGTGTAATATATTAGCGGCTCTTACTTCGGCAGTGTCAGCAGAAATGTCTTCAAGACGTTCATAAACATCCATTAACTGTTCTTGCGAATCTAATTTAAAAAAAAAAAAGTGTTATTTTGACAAAACAAATTAATCGATAAAAAAAATTGTGAATGAGTTAATGTACCATCGTTATCCTGAGCAGCCAGCTGCTCGGCAAGATTTTCCAATCGAATTCTTTCTTCATCAACTTCCATAACACATTGTAAAGCAGTTTTATCACTAGCAGGTATTTCCCTAGTTAAATGAAAAATATCTATATGATCTTGAATAGGAACTTCCCTATTACCTAATACAGCTAGAAGGGTAGATTTACCTAATAAAAATATACAAAGTAAATTAATTTTAAATTATTCGAAACATGATTGACTTTGAAATAATAATATAATAAAAAAAATGTGGTGCATTACCACTTCCATTCAATCCTAACAATCCATATCTTCTTCCGCAATTCAATTCTAATAAAGTATCCTGCATTAATTCACATCCGTGAAAAGTAACAGAAAAATTTTCTATTTTAATATCACGAGAGCGAGGATGAACAGCTAAAGAACCTGTACAAGACCTGGCTTCAGCATTTAATCTTGCATCGGCTTCCAACTTTTCACAAAGGGCTTCTAAAAAATTAAACATTCAAGTGTTTAAATATAATAATAATAATAATAAAATGAGTTTTTAAAAAAAACTATGTCAATGTACAAAGAGAGGTTAACCCAATGCATTGTTTTTAGGTTATGAATTGTAATTGTTACATTATTTAAACTGGTAAAATAAACGACGCATTATTAACAAACAATTAATGAAGTTAAAAGATTAAAGAATAGTTTTAAATGTGTAAAATATTAAAAAACGTTTGCGAATCCCTTACTTTCCTCACTAATCTCTAATTTTCCATTGGTCACACCGCCATTAACTTCATTATTTTTAGTAACTTCTTTATCGCCAGCTCCATTGTTTTGAGGTTTAGAAGAACTCGTGTTCTTTTTACCTCCAGCACGTGCTTTTGCTAATTCTTTCTTTTTAGCTGCTTGTTTTTTTTTCGCGTCTGACGGCATATTTAAAACTACAACAAAGAAAATTTACGTATACCCGAAATACGAATACGAGTTTTTAGTAGTCACCGATTCGTTATAAAAACAATAATATACCTTAATTAAAATAATTTTATTAAAAAAATACGATTTAAAACAAAATTTCTTTTATAAATAATATTAACGTACTCATTTACTTACATAGTTATTTACATAAAATTTAGTTAATCCCTAATAAAGATGTTTATTCGATTTCCGGAAATCACTTCCAAGGAAGAATTATCTTAACAATGTTGCCAACTGAAAATTTGTCGCAATTTTTTTTTCTTTCTCATGTAGTTCGAGAGAAAGAGAGAGAGAGAGAGAAGAGAAAAAACGAGGGAATTTTCCGTGTGATTTTTTTTTTTTTTTTTTTTATTACCAAAAATGGAAAAATTTAAGAAAAAGGAATTATATTATTTCGTAGGAAAAATGTTACGACGGAACGAAACATTATTACAGTTAAGTAAATTCGAAAATTTTATTATTACTTTTTAAAATTCGAAAATTATTTTCGGTTAAAAATTATACGTTAAAATATATAATATAATTTTTTTTATAAAATTTTAACGTTAATAATTGGAAAAATATACATTTTGAAGTATAATTTTGATTAATAATTAATTTATTATATGATAAACTATAAAACTTATAAAAACCGTTGATAATTTCAATAGGAAACTTAAAATAATAAAAAAATTTATTTTTCAAAACCAATATGGCTAACCTCATATATGACAACCATTACCATCATATTTTCTCAATTATTTCATAAAATTTATATTTTTAGATTGTGTTAATATGTTTTTATTAACAAAAAAGAATGACAATAACTCATTATATATATTTAAATTTAAAAAAACAGTACAATCAAACAAACTTGTTGTTGTGGTTGTTGTTGTTGATTGTTTTCACATTACAAAGTGTTGTAAAATTACTTAAATTATTAAAATTATTAAATTTTATTTATAAAACATTTGTTGAAATTGTTTAATAATTGCTACTGCTTGATAATTTTAACCGTTACGACAAACAAACAAACAAACAATAACAATATTTTGTATATTTGAATATGTGTGTGTGTGTGTGTGTAAAAACAATATAAGGAAAAATGGCAGTCATTTAATCACATATCGATCAACCAGGATGCTGCGGGCAAGCGTATTAAAAAATTTTTCTTTTTTTTTCCTCCCCCCCTTCCTTCCTTTCTTTCTTTCCATCTTTCTTTCTTTTTTTCCTTTTTTTTATTTTTCTTCTTCTTCTTCTTCAATTAAAAACTAACAGTAAGAATCAAAACATTCGGGTTTTAGTACGCGAACGAGTTATTACACAAAATAATAATAATAATTAATTTTTAAAAAAATTTATTTTAATAACAATATAAACACATAATAATAATAATTCGATAACGTTACACTTACGTCAATTTTTTATTAATAATAATAATAATAATTTTTTGTTATTAAATCGTTGTTGTTTACGTCGTTATTTATTTATTTATTTATTTATTTATTTATTATTATGTTAAAAAATAATTTTTAATAATTAAAATCCCAAAAGTGGTTTAAAGAGAAATTAATTCGTAAGTTTATTTATTTATTTATTTATTTTTATTATTAATTATTTATTTTTGATGTTTTTAATAAATTTTTTCCCCGACGTTATTTATTTATTTACTCATTATTATTATTATTATTATTATTATTATTATTATTATTATTATTATTATTATTATTATTATTATTATTATTATTATTATTATTATTATTATTATTATTATTGCTACTTTTTAACGTTTTAATTACAATAACAACAAATAATAATAATTATTTAAAAAAATTATTTTAATTATAAAATGAAATACAATTCACGTTTCAAATTGTGGTAATGATGATGATGATGATGATGATAATGATGATTATTAAAATAATTTTAATATAATAATAATAATAATAATAATAATAATAATAATAGGGAATTAATAAAGAGGAATTTTTGTTTTCTTTCTTCTAAATAAATATTTTTTTATTTAATAATGAAATTTAATTTAAATAATCAATTTGGTAATATTATTATTATTATTATTATTGTAATATATTATGCATTCATTTATATTATGATGAAAATTTCTTCTGCTTTTCTTTAAACAAAATGTAGTAGTATCGTGTGACACAAAAGAAAATCGTTGAGGTGTAAATTCCATTTTTAAAATAATAAATTTATTTTTTTTTTGTCTTATTCTTACCTTAAAAAAACTAATTATCTCTCTCTCTCTCTCTCTCTTTATTATCATCATCATCATCATTATCATCTTTATTATTATTATTTTTAATTAATAAATTTAATTTCGTTTTAATTTATTTAAATAAATAAATCGCGTTACGAACGAAAAAAAAAAAGAAAAAAATGTTTTTTTGATTTTTCCACCGGGGAAAATTTTACTGGGAAATACTGGAAAAGTGGGGTGGTGTGGGGGAGGGGGGGAAATAAAAAAATTATTAAATTTTTTTTTTTAATGAAGAATTTTCCACGTGACGACGAAAAAAAAATTTTTTTTTTTTTAACGACCGTCGTTATCAAATAACATTTATCGTTCGTTCGTTCGTTTTTTTTTTTTTTTTAATCAATTATCATTCTTATCACGGTTCATTAAAAGATAAAAAAAATAAAATTATAATAATTTAAAATGATAATAATAATAATAATAATAATAATAATAATAATAATAATAATAATAATAATTTTATATTAATTTTTCCCGACGAGTCTTTAGGCGTTCTTTTGACGTTTTTTGAATTAATAAAAAAAAAAATTTTTTTTCGTATAATAAAATTATTATTAAATTTCCTTTTTTTTTTAATGAACTTTTGAACTGATTAATATTCAAAGGACAATTAAAAATTGTAAACTTTTACCGAAAAAAAAAAAGGAAAAAAGGAAAAAAAGGAAAAATGTTTGTTTTTTGTTTATTGTTGTTAAAAAACAGAAAAAAATCCATTCGACGGTTGACGTAAAAAATATGTAATTATAATAATGATGATGATTACGATTGTGTTCAAAATAAAAGGAAAAAAATAAAAGGAATTTAATTTAGTCATAGTATAGTCCACGTTCGCAAAGGAATCAAAGGAAAAAAAAAAAAAAAATTCATTATACCTTTTTTGTCATTAATTATTCATTATTTTAACGAAAATAACATTTTTAAAAAAATTTGTTTTTTTTTTTTTTTTTTAAAAACCAATCAAAAAAAGGATAAATCGGAACCGGAAATGGATGAAAAAAAACAGGAAATGAATTATGCCGGTAGTTATTTATTATTTTTTTTTATACGAAGGAAAATATTTTGATATTAAAAAAAAAACCTTTTTCCAGTCGATAATTTACGTCAATCGATCGTTTTTATAATTCTTTTTTTTACCGTTGATAATAATAATAATAATAATAATAATAATGATGATGATGATAATGATAATAATTATAATAATAAATATGGGAAGCCGCGGGTTTTTCTTTTTAACGTATTAAAAAAAAAATTTTTTTAAATTTAAAGAAGAAAAAAAATTTTCCTGTCTGTTAAGAATTTTCCCATGAAATAAATATTATTTAATTTGTTATATTAAAAAAGTAAATAAATTTCATTTTTCTTTGGGGGGCCATTTTTTTTTCTGTAGTTTTAACGAGCGAAGGAGAGAGAGAGAGAGAAAGAGAGAGAAAGAGAGAGTAAAAAAAAAAAATTTTTTTTTTATTTAATTTGTTGCAAGAAAATGTTACGTAATTTTGTTTTTTTTTTTTTTCTAAAAATTTAAAATACCAAATAGAATAAAAGAAAATGAGAGAGAGATAGAGAGAGAGAGAGACATTACGGGATTAATGACATAAAATTTTTAGTGTTAAAATTCCATTAAAAGATTAAATGGGTTTGATAGAGGAAAAGTATTTTTTTTTTTTAAACTAGAAGAGTGGGGGAGTTGGGAGGAGGGGGCGGGGTGAAAGGGCATCAGACAAAGGTAAAATTACATAGAATTAAATAAAATTAGTTTTAAATGAAAAAAGAGGAAAAAGAAAAATTAAGTGAAATTTTAAAGTAAAGTTTAAAAAAATTAAAGAAAAGAAAAGCAAAAAAAATTTTTTTTTTGTTTTTGACCTGTACGAAAAAAGAATGTCAGTCAAAGTTCAAAATTTTCCCATTTAAAAATAAGAAAAATGTAAAATAAAAAGAGTGAGTGAGAGAGAGAAAGAGAGAGAGAGAGAGAGAAAGAAAAAGAGAAGAAAATTTTAGAGCATTAAAAAAGTATTAAAAAAAAAAAAATGGGGAAATATGTCACTTTTGATTTTTTCTTTTTCTCGTTTTATTAAAAAAACAAAAATTTCATATTCAGGTACAAAAAAAAAACAAAAATATTTTTAAAAAAATAAAATAAAAAGTAAACAAATAAATAAATGAATGAATAATGGCTGTCAAATTTTACTTTGGTATAAATAATTAATTTAATTATGCGTAACAACAACAACAACAACCGGAATTTTTGTTTTTTTCAAAACATTTTCTTGGCATTTTCATTTATTTTTTTTTGTTTTTGCGGGAGGAGGGAGGAGGGGAGGGGTTGGGAAGGAAAGGGGGGAGGAACTTGAAAAAAGGAAGTAAAAAATAAAAGAGTGGTAAATTAATAATAAAAAAAAAATCTTTTCATTGAATTTTCATTACGCATCATCTTTTTCCACGATTTTCTTTTTTCTTCTTCATCTTTTTCCACGATTATCTTTTATTTTATCCCCCCCCCCAAAAAAAAACGATTTGAATCAAATGTTAAGACAAACGCACACACGCACACACACACACACAGAGAGAGAGAAAGAGAGAGAGAGAAAAGTAAAAAAAAAATTTCTTTGAAAACTTTTTTTTTTATTTTTTAGATTATTTCATCATCATCATCATCAACATCATCACCATGATGAAAGATAAATCCACGAGTAAAGTATTGAATTTTGGATGAGAAAAAGAAAAAAATTCGTTATAAAGAAAAGAAGAGGAGGAAAAAGGAAAAAGGAAAAAAGGAAAAACATGGATTACATAAAAGAATTTGATATACAATTGGTTAAAGAAATGTATTATCCAGGTGAAATTTTATCTGGACACGTTATACTACATACGGTTGAAAATTTTAAATTAAGATGTGAGTAATTATTATTATTATTATTATTATTATTATCAAAAGTTTCGACGTGAATCTTATATCCGTCAAAAAAAATTTTTTTTTTTGTTAACTTTTTTAAGAAATCTTTTTAAAATATTTTCTTGTTTTCCACCCAAAAAAAGAAAAAAAAATTTTCCGGCGTACAAAAAATGGTTCAAAAGAATTTAAATGTAAAAATTTTTTCCCTTTCTCCAAACCGCCCCCCGCCCGCACCACCCACTCCCCGCCGGCCACATTTTCAATCGTAAAATATTTGAAACATTTCCGTTTCCTTTTATTTTTCTACGGACACGAATATTTCAGTTAATTAACAACAACGAAAAAATATATCCGGTTATTATTATTATTATTAGTATTATTATTATTATTATTATTATTTAAAAACAAATATTCGATATTTTCCTTTAAAAAAAAAAAAATTAAATTTTTTCGTTTTCAAAACAAACAAACAAACAAACAAACGTTAAATACAAAATAAAAAAAATTTTCTTTCTCACGAATTTTATTGTTTGCATAAAAAAAAAATTTTTTAAATTCGTTTTTTTTTGTTTTATACATTCGTTTAATAATTTTTTTATGTAAATAATATTAATTATTAAAAATTTATTAATTAATTTTATCGATTATTATTATTATTATTATTATTTAAACGGCAAATTTTTATTTACACGAGAAGAAAAAAAATGTCGAAAGGGTTTGTTTTTAATAAAATCTCAGGCCGTTGTTCGTTAATAATCAAATATTTGAATATGATAAAAAGTGCCAACGTTTGAAAAAAAAAAAAAAGGAAGGAAGAGGGAGAGAGGGAGAGGGTTAAATCACGTGATATTACAAAATCGCCATTTTCCTTTATTGTTTGAACGGATTATAATAATTACGAGTAAATTTTTTTTTTTTTTTAAACGGAAATCGAAATCAAATCGTACGAATTTTCCAGCAAAAGAAAAAGAAAAGGAAGGAAAAGGAAAAAGTTTTTCTTTTACCAAAAGTATTATCAATAATATATATATTTTTTTTTTATTTATTTTTATTTATTTACTCGATAAATTAACGGATGCGTTTGACGTTTTTCAAATGGAGGAAAATGGGCGAGGAGTAGAAGGAGTAGGAAGGGGAAAACAAGATGGCGGACGATTTCGGTTTGGTGGTTTTTTGCTGCGGCGGGAAATGAAAAAGAAACAAATCGAACAATTAGATTTTTTTTTTTCGAACTAATTAACAAAAAAAAAAAGGGGGGGGGGAGGAGGAGGGGAGAAATGTATTAAATTAGGTCAATTTAAATTCATTTTATTTTATATTTTAAATTTACGATTAAAAAAAAAAAAAAAAAAAAAAAAAAAGAATTTTTTTCCTTTTTTTTTCCTTTTTTTTCCTTTTTTCCTTTTTGCCAATAAATCTTTTTAGCTTTTTTTAATTAATTAAATTTTTTTTTTTCTACAAATTATCAATTCCAATTGATTGTAATTAGTTTTTTTTTTTAGTTAGATCAATAATTAATTGTGTTAATTTTATTTTAGTAAAATTAGTTAAATAATTTTTTTTTTCTCCTTCCTTCTTTCCCGCCCCCGCCCCCCGGTACATCGTTGAGAAAATTACAAGAAGAAACTATTATCATTATTATTTTCGTGATGTTTTTTTTTTTCCAGCTTAAAATTTTTAGTTTAAAAAAAAAATCGTCACGAAATCTGGAGGATTTAAATTTAAATTTTAAAAATGGCCGACCCTAAACGATTTTGGATTTTTTTTTTTTGTATTAACATTTATCGACGATGATTTTGTTTTTTTTTTTTTTTTTCTCCAAAAACTGGAAAAAATTTCTTTCCATTTTATTTTTTGTAAATTTTCCACGTTTTTTAACAACAGAAACAGAAAGAGAAAGAAAAAAATGGAGAAAATGTTTCGTTACAAAATCATTAAATTTTTCCACATTTGATTTTCTTTTTTTTTTTTTTTTTTTGGAATCACTTAAAATTTTCTCCAGGGCGTGTTTACTTATTTTTTTTTATTTTGAATTTTCTCTGGAAAAAAGCACACACACAAAAAAAAAATAAATAAATAAATAAAAGCGAAAAAAAAAAAAAAAATTTTTTTTTAGTATTTCCCATATATGGATGTATTTTTTTTCCCCTTGCTTTTAACATATATTACACGTTTCACGCCAAAGGCTGTAAAAAAAAAAATGATGATAATAATAATAAAAGGAAAGAAAATGAGTTTGAAAGCTTTGTTTAATTTTTAATTTTTTTTTTTTTTTGTGTTCGACATTTTAGCTATAAGATCCGTTATGAGAGGAAAAGCTCATGCGGAATGGAAAATAGTAGTCAACGGTGAAAAAAGAACCGTTAGAGATGATCAGTATTTTATGGATGCAAGAAACGTCATTTGGGGAAATGGTAATATATACGCACACGCACATGCACACACTCTAGAAAGAATAAAATATTGTATGTTTATTACAGAAAATGTCGATGGTAACGTTCCGATACTTCCGCGTGGATTTCATCAATTTCCGTTTAAATTTCAATTACCAGAATCACAGTTGCCATGTTCTTTTGAAAGCAAACCCGGATGCATTAGATATTATGTTAAAGTCACCGTTGATATTCCATATGCTTCTCCACCGCAGGGTATCAAATATTTTACAATTATCGGACCTCATATCGATTGCATGGACGAACAATATTTGGCGAGTTTTTTTTCCATTTTTCCTTTTTTGTTTATGATAACTATTTTGTTGAAAGTTGGTTTTTGTTTTAGAAGCCGATGATGGGTCAAGATAAAAGAACGACGTGTTGTTTGTGTTGTCAAAGAGGACCCGTCACCCTACACACACAATTGGAACGTTCAGCCTATGTTTGTGGTGAATCTATAAAGCTCAAAGCAAACATAGACAATCAGGGAGAAGAAACAGCGAGGCTTAAAGTCAAATTATTACAGGTACACACATACCTGTTGTCCATTTTTCTTAAAACAACAGCCTAAACATAATTTTTAAAATTTTTTTTTTCCAGTTTGTTGAATATTTCATCGATAGAGGAGTTTTTGGAACTTCTAAAGAATTACAACACGTGGTTTTAGAATATAAAGGAGACGTGGTACAACCAAATACTCGTACAAAATGGGATTCTAATCAATGTTTAATTGTGCCGACCATGCCTCCGACCGTTGTGGGTGTTTGCAGGGTTTTACAAATTTATTATGTTCTTAAAGTAAGAGCTTGACAAAAAAAAAAAAGACAAAATATTATTTGATCATTATTATTATTTTTCTATTGTTTTTAAGGTTAATTTAGAATTAGAAAAATCAGGTGAAGATTTATTAATGCATTTTCCAATAACGGTTGCAACCGTACCGTTTAGAATTCCCAATACCAACAATGTGCCTAAAATAACATACCGTGAGTATTAAGGTTTTTTTTAAATGATACTTTTTCCTTTTTTTAACTCATTTTTGTTTTTCAGGAGTAGCTAGCCATCACGTCGAAGGTGGAATGTATATCGGACCTGAATTTTTACTAGGAGAAGTTTACGATGGATCGAATAATACCCAAGAAACTCGTGAAACAACCGTTTTATATCAACCCGTTTACGTAAATGTCGTCAGAGAGGAAATGACGTAATAAAATTTTTAACCGTTAAATTTAAATGTTATGAGAAACAATTTTAACAAATGTGATGTTTAATTTCATCTTACAAAAACTTTATCACGCTTGAATGTGAAAAATGTTTTCTTTTTTAATTAAATTTTGAAAACCGAAAAAAATTTCTATCAATTAAAATAAATATAATAGTTTAATAATAATAATTGTTAATTAAAAAAAAAAAAAAATTTTTTAAAAGAATTTCTATGTGTTTCGTTTGTTAAAATGATATGAATGTTTTAATTATATAATAGTTTGATATTAAATACGTGCAAACTAAAAATATAATAATAATTTTATTTGCGATTGTTAATAAATTAATTTAACTAATTTTTATCTATCCTTACTTGAAAAAAAAAAAAAATGTTAAAAAGTATTTGAAATCTTTTACTGTAATAATCCATTTTGTAGCACTTGTTAAAATCAATAATAAACTATATCACTTCTTATATTTTAAATAATTATTCCGATTTTTTATTTAATTATTAAATAATTTATCACCAAAAAAAGAAAAAAATTTGTCATTGAATCCATTCACCAACGGTTTTAACATTTGTTTGGCGGGGAAAAAAAAAATTGTGCGGTTGGTACCACTTCCTCTTACATTCAACCATTTTTTTGTAATCTGTGAAAACAGTAAACAGGTTAGTTTTTTTATCCGATAATATCTCATTCATCGGATGTTATTATTAACATTTTATGATTTATTTCGAATTAGAAAGCGATTTTATTAATTACGTCATTTATAAATACTTTTATAATAACAGTATAATTAAATATAAATGTTAACGATGCCATGTTGTTATGATACTTTGCTTACAGAATGTCGATCAGACCTGTTTACCGGCCGAAAATCGTAAAAAAAAGAACAAAGCCTTTTATTAGGCATCAAAGTGACAGATATGTTAAACTTAGGAGGTCATGGAGAAAACCTAGAGGTATTGACAACAGAGTTAGGAGACGATTTAAGGGTCAATATCTTATGCCCAACATTGGTTATGGATCAGACAAGAGAACACGTCATATGTTAAGAACTGGATTTAGAAAAGTTTTGGTACATAATGTTAAGGTGAGCTTTTGACATCGTGCACGATGCATTTAAAAATATAGTTTTTATAAATTCCAAATGTCCAATATATGAATTTAAAACGATAGGAGATGAGATGCTGTTGCATTTTCATACATTGATTAGTTTTTACCCAAAGGTAAAAATTGAGGCACCCTTTAATATTTTTTAGAAATTTTAAATGAATTATAAAAACTATATAAATTAATTTTATAAAGAACCAGTTGTATTTTCAAATCAATTGATAATTTATTTTTGTCGAATGTGTTTTAGGAATTAGAAATCCTTATGATGCAAAATAGAAAGTTTTGTGCAGAAATTGCACATGGAGTCTCTTCTAAAAAAAGGAAATTAATTGTTCAGAGAGCTCAACAATTAAGCATTAGACTTACAAATGGAAATGCTAGACTTCGTTCTGAAGAAAATGAATAAACATATTTTTACAGTTTGAAATTTGATTATACAATACAATTTTATTTAATGCTCGTAAAGAGCATATATTTCCATCCATTAAGAGTGTTTTACTATTATGTATTCCTTTTTCATACAATTCATCGTTTAATTTTGGTATCGATAAATAATAATCACACATTGTCAAAAGCATAATTGGTAAAAAAAAAAAGAAATTAATTTTTAATTTATTGAAAATTGTTATGGCAAAAAAAAACTGTAGATTTTTAATAAGAATGCTTTTAATTCATTCGTTAGTTTTGTTTGAAATTATTTATTTTATTAAGTAAGAATATTAGCTAAATCTAAATCTGAAAATGAAAATATTTTCAAAAATCATTAATTTAAAATTTGGGGGGTCCTACTTCTAAGTAAATGCAAAAACAATATTTTATGATTATGTTATATGTGGTGGCCTTCAAGTTAAAAGATTAATTATCTATTTGAAACTTATCCAAATAATTAATTGTAATATTTTAAAGCAATTAATTTTTTAAGGATATTTAATATTATTTTATAAAATAGATATAAAATATAAAAAAATAATAAAGTTTTAATCGACAATACGATTCGTCTTGTTGCTTTTTTGAGAACGTTGGCAACGCTGTATAGACAAAACCTTTACAAATATGACTGCCGTAAAGAAACGTGTGTCGAAAAAGAATAAAAGATCGTGGAGAAAAAATGTTGACATAACAGATGTTGAAAACTTTTTAGAAGATCAAAGGTTGGAAGAAAGATTGGGAGTCAAATTCTCTGACACTAAAAATGAAGAGCTCTTCGAAATTGACGTAAAGGGTCAAGATGATAGCAATGAATTGTCGGATATTAAAACAAATAAATGTCCTCGAGTACTTTTAAGTAAACCTAACAATAGTTCGTCCTATAGATTAAGGGAAACAGAATTGCCTAAATGTTATGAAATATTAGAAAAAAGGTCGGCAGTACCTGTTCCTATTAAACCAACAAAGAGAATTAAAGCAGTTGAAAACAAGTATTTAAAACGTAAGGTGAGTAAAATTTAAATTATTAATAAAAAAAAATATGTTCTCAAAATTATAATTCTTTTGTAATACTTTTATTTAAATACCTGTGTAAATTAAAGGCAAAAATTAAAAAACCTGCTGAGGCAACTAAGAAACAAAGGGTTGAAGAAGAAGAAGAAAAAGAACCTGTTAAAAAGTTTTCTTATGATATTTGGTCTGACGATGGTAAAAATAATAAAATAAAAAAAGAGAATGAATGGATTCAAATTGAAACATTGAGGCATAATCTTCAAAATATTGGAGAACATAAAAAAGTAATACCCAAAACAATTCAATCCAAAACATCAAAATTGCCAGCTATAGATATTCCTCATCCTGGTTTATCTTATAATCCATCATTAAAAGATCACAAGGAAATTTTATCAAAAGCAGCTGAGAAAGAATATGCACTCATCAAGGAAAAAAAGCATTTGAATCGAGTTACAAAGGAAATGTTTTCTAGCATTCCAAGGGAAGAAATGGAAAAAAATTGGATAGAAGAAATGTGTGTCGGTTTAACTGTTTCGAAAAGTGATTCCGACGATGATGATGGTCAAGAATACAAGGCATTGAATCCTCCTGTCAGAAACAAAAAGAAAACTTTACAGAAAAAAAGGAAAAAGAGAGAAGCATTATTATTAAAAGAAAAATTAAAAAATCAAAAAATTGAAAAAAAGAAAATATCCGATTTACACAAGTTGACAAAATTTAATGAATCAATATTGAAAAAGGAACAAAAAATTAAGGAAAAAATGGAAAAGAAAAAAGAAAAACAAAAGAAAAAACCATTCACCACTAGAGTTTTGAGTCAAATAAAATATCAAGATGCCGATATAGATTTTCAACTCCCTGAAGAACTTTCCGGAAACCTTAGAAATATTAACAGCATTGGCAGCATTTTACACGATCGATTCAAGAGCCTTCAGAAAAGAAACATATTGGCTCCGACAATAAAAAGACATTATAAAAAAGCTAAAGTCAAAAAGTATGAAAGAAATCACACTAAAATGGATTGGGAGAAAAACGATTCAATGTCATCATTTAAAAAATTATTAAAAAAGTAATGTTTCATATAAATAATAAAGTTTTATTACACAAATGAAATTTTTCTAGTCTACTTTTATTTAAATACTATTCCTTATAATAAAATTAAATCAATTTGTAATTTAAAAAGTAAATTTTACTCGCTTATTAACTCTATTTTATTGAAAATACAGTAAATTCTTTTTGACAATTAAAATAAAATAGCGTAGAATATCGGAGTACATTTCATTATCTTTTTTTCCGCAAAATTGTTCATGTCTATGGTTTCGTATTGTTGCCGTATTACGTAAAAGATAAGAATTGAGCGGGTAAATTGGTCAAATGACACTACTTTTCTTAATTTTTTTAAAATGGCCGAAAGTAATGTGAGAGCACCCAAGTATCACATAGAAGACGACGATGAGGGTAAAATCGTTATTAAAATTATTGCTCCACTTGCTAAACCAAACGAGGCTAATTTTTTAATCGATAATCAAAATTTCATATTCGTTTCTAACCCTTATTTTTTAAAGTGAGTTTAAATTATTTTTTATAAAATATGTATATTGAATTCAATTTAAAACTCATTTTATTGTTAATAAATAAGCATCCTTTAAAAAAAAAGGAGCTCAAAATACTTGTTGGGATTTAGTTTCCATTCACAAAAATTTTTAAATTTGTTTTATTTTAGAACTATTTTACCATGCCCTATATATGACATTCCTGAGTTTCAAACTTACGATTTGCAAACTTTTACTCACACTGTTAAATTTAAGAAAAAAAGCAATATCAAATCGAACACTCCTAATGAAAATGAATTTGAACACCAAACAAAGACTGAAGAAGATGATTCTGGTACATTTTAATTTTTTTCATAAAATAAGCATTAATTATTATGAGATTATTTAAACAAACTTTAACTTGAGTTAATGTAACATCTTTCATTATATTTCAGTTGAAAAAAACGAGTCATCTTTGCCTTCGCCTAAACAACATTATGGTTTTGCTAATAAGTATTCGAACATGTTTGGAAAACTTGCTGTAAGTTTATTATAATATATTAAATAAATTAAATATTATTCTATAATTTATTGTTTTTTATTAATAAAATTATCAGGATACATTTTCAGAATTTATTAATTTACCTGATCCTGATAACAGTGATTTGCAATCGAGGAAAGAATTAAAAATGCAAGAAGAAAGCGAGAAATGGAATGATGATCATTATTTAGCTGACACAATGGAAACAGATCATCTTGAATTTATTTTCACATTTGAACCTTCTTGGTACAAACCAATGAAAAAGGGTAAACCATCTCAATTTTTCTCGCCTTTTAAATTAATTTAATTAATGTCTACAATGTTTAAAATTTTTTCTCTAGAGCTAAGCGATGATTTGAAAGAAATAATAAATTCATTCACACCAAAAAATGAATTCAAATTAACTGAAAATGATAAAAAAATAATAAATTATCAAATTGTCGACATTTTATTTGCTTATGCCTACGATTATAGAACTACTGAAGGTGATAAATCAGTCGAATCTGGATGGACGATAAATAAACTTAGCAGTACTTTGTCATGGCTTGAGGTTGTAAATTAATTTATAATTTTGTACATTTTTATGAGTGTTACAAATAATATTAATAATTAATAATATTCAAACAGGTGTTTGATTCATTAAAAAGTGTTCTAGTGGCCAGTTACAGAAGAAGTTTAATATATCCACTTTATAGAAATTGGAATTTGGCTGAACTTATTCATGAAGATGTTGTTAAAATATTAGAAAATGGTTGAGTTTCATTTTTTTTTTTTTTTATTAAATTACACTATTTTGATAAATTTAAAAGTTATTATTATTGTTATTATTTTTTTTTTTAAGGTTCAATGGAAGTAACTAAATGCTTACTCGAAATAAAAGAAATATTCGATGAAAGTGAAAACAGGTACATATTAAATAACCTGTACATAAATGATTTATCATGGTTTTCATATTTAAATGAAAATGATTATTTTATACAATTGTCACGAGAAGTTAAAAAGGTAAAAAATTAAAATCTGTCTTTTGTGAGTGAAAAATTACTAAATGAAATGGATTTGAATTTAAATTTTTTGATTTTTTTGGTTACATAGGTAAAAGTAACAAAATACGAAGTTAATAGCGAACTACCAATTTTAGAAATGGCTGCCAATTTGACATTAGAAGAAGAAAAAAAAGATGGCATTAATCCGAAAGAAATAAAAAAAATAGTTGAGGAAATATCTAAAATAAAAATTAAAGAAGGGAATAAGGGTTCGAATGATTGTTGTCAATCGTCAACGGAATCGTCAGAGGATTCCGATTCCGAATCCAATTTCGAATCAAGCGATTCTTCAGATAAAAAAAACTAAAACGAATTTCCCCCCCCACCCCTATTTTTATTACTGATAATTTGATTTTTATCATTAGTTATATAAAAAATAATTGCAAATGAAAAAGGAAAAAAGCGGAAATGAAAAAAGGAAAAAGAACGAAAATGAAAATTTCATTGGAAGGATATGAATATCCGGGGATTTGCAAATTACTTTCGGTAATAAAATTTATGACATTATAAAAAATATTATTATTATTATTATTATTATTATTATTATTAGGTATCGAAATTTGATTTTTACAAGGATATGTGATCGTCCATTTTAATTTTTTATACGATTGAAACGTTTTTGAATAAATTTTTTGTCTATTATCGAATCAAATGAAAAAATAATCGTGACATTTTTTGGAAAAAAAGGGGGCTTCAAACGGGGCCCCCATAATCAACTTATTTTTTATCCGATGATATAAATTTTTTAATAAATACTTTTTAAAAAAATGTTTTTATTTAACATATATTTTTTCATTTGATGTACTTTAACTAATCGTCTACTAAAAATTTTCCGACGGATTTTCTTTTTTTTTTTTTTTTTTTAGTATTTAAGTCGGTGTAATGGCTGACTAATTCTTTTCGGTACTTTATACCTTAATATACCGAAACGTATTAATTACAGTCAGGTGGAAGAACCGGAACAAGACGATCTTTAACTAATACCTTAATTTATGTATAATTTTTAAACAGGTTAAAGGAAAACGGGAAAGTTTTCAGGTCGATGTACAATCCAACAGGATTGCCTAAAAATTAATGACATTTTAAAAATTTTCATCCGACAGAACGTTTGTAACGGTTGTTGTCGATAAGTTGTAACACGAATTAAAATAAATTTTTTTTTAAATTTCCTGTAGGGTCGATCGATCGATCGATCGCCATTTCAAGAAGAAGAAGAAGAAGAAAAAAAAGTTTTTTTTTCGTCGTTTATTAAAAATAAATGAACGTCATTATTTGTTTTAATCCCACACATATCATTTCACATAAAATGAGGGGTTGTTAATAACAACTTTTCTACAAACAGACATTTTTTTTTTTTATAATTTAATGTTTGTTTTTCTTCTCCAACCGATATTATTTATATCATTTCGGGTTTACAAATTATTATTATTATTATTATTAAATGTAATCAATATTTTGTTTCTTTTTCTAATTCTAGGGGATTTTTTTTAGTATCATTTTTCAATTTTTTTTTTTTTTGTTTTGTTAAATAAATTTTTATGTTTTTTCTTAGGCAGGTAACTACGACATTTTGTTTTTTTTTTTTTTTTTTTGTATTGTTTTTATTACGTGTTTTGTTTTTCAACAAATTAATAACATTATTAAAGTTTATGATTGTTTATATTTAATAACAATTAAATTGTTTGTTTGTTTAATGAAAAAACAAAACAAAACATAAAAAATAAAATCAATACAAGATTTTTTTTTTAGAATCAAGTAATTGAATTTTTGACCATAAATGCATATTTTCACGATGATGAAAACATGGCGGAATATTTTAAAAGAAAAACTTAATAACCTTAATCAATTAATGCTCGATTTTATTATTATTTTTTTTGTACTCCCTCAAATCAAATAAAAATTATGTTACTTCATCGTCGCCATCATTTTTTTTTTTTTTTTTTTATTGTTTGCCATCCTCGAAAATGTTTAAACAAATTGAAAAACAAGGTCATCGTTAATTGTAATTAAATATTATTATTTCTCAGATGGTATTATCATTATTATTATTAATGATGATGATGATGATGTCGTTCGTCATCGATAAATTTTATAAAATTATTATTATTATTGTTTTTTTTTTTTTCGCATGTTTTTTTCAATTAAAGCAAAAATCAACAAATAAATTATTTTAAATTAATTGATGAATAAAAAATTAATTAAAAACAATCGATAAATCAATATAAGTGACGTCTTTGTATAAATTATTATCATTATTATTATTATTATTAAATTAATTTATAGAATTTAAATTGAAACGAATTTTTATTTAATAATTAAAAAAAAATAAAAAAAAAATTTTGTGTGATGCGAATTATTTATTTATTTTTTTTTTCAAAAGGGATTTTTTTTTATTTATTTATTCGATGATAATAATAATAATAAATTGTTTTCTTTTTTTTATTTTTAGAGAGAGTCATCATCATCATCATCACAAATAAGGGTGGAAAAAAAAAAAAAGAAAAAAACGTTTAAGAGTCGTAAAATCTCAGGGGTTGGTAGAAAAGTTGTTATTGTCACGTGAAATCAATGAATTCAAATAAATTCGTTTTATTTAGAAGAGGAATAATCATCATCATCATCATCATCATTATTATCGTTTGAAATGATAATAGAATCTCACGGGACGCATCCCTGCTATGCTAAGTAATAAACACTTAAAATAAATTTTTTCTTTTTTTTTTTCGGGGGAAGGTAGGTTGGGGGGTGGGAAGGGGGTACGGAGGACACACTTTTTGGTTTCATCCGTTTTTTTGTTGTTGTTGTTGTTGTTAGCAGACGTTCGTACGTACGGTTTAAAAAAAAAAAAAAATTTTTTTCTCTCTCTCACACTCACACACTTTATTTTAACCTTTGACAGCTAAAATCGTTTTTCATTTTATTTATTTATTATTGTTTATATTATTTATTGATGAAATTGAATAATAATAATAAAAAAAAAAAAAATTTCCCACAGTACGCGAACGGACACGCGCACTCACGCACCACACGCACGCATTTTGTCAAATTAGCGTCGTACGTTCGTTTTTTTTTATTTATAATTTTTGATGACGTGCGGTCGGGTGTAGTATTTATTAATTAATTTATTTTTATTTTTTCTTTTCTCTCCTTTCACTCCGCCTCACTACTCCCTCCCTCCTGCCCTCCTCGTCAGTCATCTTGTGTCGTCGTCTGCTTTTTATATATTATTTTTATCATCATTATTAAAAGATATAGTTAATAATTTAATAGATATTCATTTCGACCATCTTTAAAAAGAAATTTATTGTTTTCGTGAGAAGGGAAGTTTCGGGGGGGGGCTAAAGGGGAGGAGGAAGAGGGCGAGGGGAGTAAAATGCGGGGGTGGTAAAGTCGTGATAAATTTAAAATGGTCTCCGTCATTTCAAAGAAGGATATAATAAATGCTTGTGAGTCAATTGTGTCGTGCACTGTGTGTGTGTTTTCTTTTTTTTTTTTTTTTTTTTTTTTTTGGTTGCTCACCTGATAAATATAAATCATTATTATTATTATTATCGTCATCTTTTTTTTTTTTTTTTTTGTAGGACAACAACGATGGACGGGAACAATCAGAACAATCACGGCTTGAAATACAATAAAAATAAAAAAAATTCAAAAGGAAAACAAACAAAATAAAAAATTAATATTTGATTGAAGTCTCAGATAATTCCTGCCACGTTGTAAAAGTGTCTTTAGAAATTTTTTTTTTTTTTTTACTACCATTAAATAATGATGATGATGATGATGATGATGATAATGGCAGCAGCTCCCATACGTAAGCTTTTTATTATTATTATTATTATTATTAATTTCTGTCTGTTTTATTTATTTATTGTACGGATTAAATATTTGAATGAACCCCCCCCCCCTTGGTAATTTTTCTCTGTGATTCTATGTGAACTCTGACCTCTTTACTCTTCTCGACTTTCCCTCTTTTTCTTTCTCTTACCAGGATTTTTCACCCTGTTGCGAAATGATTGTTAAAAAGAAAAACTTTTTTGTCAAAGTTAAAATTTCTTGTCGCGTTCGTTTTGTTTTTTGTCTCTCTCTCTCTCTCTTTCTCTCTCTCTCTCTCTCTCTTTCTTTATTTTTCTCTCTCTCTCTTTCTCACTCTCTTTTCACTTACGGTTAAATGATTATCCTTGAAAAATATGGGTAGTAGGAAAAAAAAAGAAAAAAATTTCAATGGGGTGGCCTGGGCCTTTCATCCCTTCGTAATTAAATCTCACAATGGGGCGTCTTATTTTGACACGTTTTTCCAACCAAACAGTCAAAGGCAGTCAAATCCAAGGGTGACGCCACAACCGGTTGTAGTTGTTGTTTGCTTTACAAAAAAATTTTTTTTTTTCAAAAACCTTAAAATTAATTTCTTTTCTTTTTGTTTCCCCATTTTGTAAAAAAAAAAAAAATATTTATTGAATTTTACTTTGTTTCCTGTTGTTTTGTCATCGCCGTATGGATTTTAACATTATTATTATTATTATCATCATCAGAACGCTCGTTAACGAGTCATTCAATCAAATAAATAATAATAATAATAATGAACCATAACGAAAGAAAGAAAGAAAGAAAGAAAGGAAAAAAAAGAAATTTTTTCTTTTTCTTTTCTTTTCTTTTTTCGTTTGTTTGTTTGTTTTGTTGCGTGCGACGTTGACGTTTAATTTTTTTTTTTTTTTTTTTTAATAAACAAACGATTCGATGTTCTTTCCAAAAAAAAAAAAAAAAAAAAAAAAAAAAAACCTCGACTGGAGCTGGAAAAATGAAAAAGTAAAAAAAAAATTTTTTCCTTTTTCATTTCCATAAACTTTTACCGTCAGATGTTAAAAACGTTTATATTTCCACCTGATTTCCAGTCTTGAATTTTCACTTTTCCAAAGTTTAATTAAAAATTTTAATTGTTTTTTATACAACGTTTCATTATCATTATTATTATTATCATTATTATTATCATTATGACTCTTACAAAACGTTTTGTGCGATGTAACAAAAAAAAAACCAAATAGAAAAAAAAAAAAAAAATTGTTTATTTTTAAAATAATAATAATATTAATAATAAGTAAAGAAAAATTGTTTTTAATTTTTGTTTGTATGTTCGTTTGTTTGTTTGTTTGTTTGACTTAAATCTAACGTAATAGAGAAAGAAAAAAAATAACACGTGACACACTAACAAAAACAAAATTTTTATTTTTTTTTCAGGTAAATGAAATGGGAAAGAAAAAGAAAATAATAATAATAAAACGGATTTAAAACTCACAATAAAACTCATTAATA